TCATGGCTGACACATGGAAACAACCCAAATATCCATCAACTAACGAACGGATAAACAATGTGCTGTATCCCTACAACAGAATACAAGCCATGCATGAAAAGGAATGAAATACTGATTCATGCTACAAACAAACCAGGCATAAAGGACCACGTATTGTGTGATTCCACTTCTATGGAATGCCCAGAATAAGCACATCCATAGAGACAGAAGTAAGTTTGTGCCCAGGGCTAGGAGAATGGAGACAAAGGGGGAGTGACTGGCAGTGGGCATGGGGCTTCTGTCTGGGGTGAGGAAAATGATCTGGAATTAGACAGTGGTGATGGTTGCTCGTTTCTCTGAATATACTGAAAACCGCTGAACTGTACATTTTATTATTCAATTTATTGTTTTATAGTATGTGAATTACATGTCAATACTTTAAAAAGAATATCTGGGTTTGAATCCTAGCCTCTCCCTTCCTAGAGCCATGACCTTGGGTGAGTCATTCTACCTCTCTGTGCCTCAGTTTCATCATCTGCTAAGTAGGCCCACAGATGATGCTGGCATCTGTGTAAGGGCAGCTCCTGCCACAGTGGTAAGCAGCCAGTATCTGGTGGCTTCCATTAAATTTAATGTGTGAAGTCTCCCTAAGGGGACAGTCCACCCATCTGAAGACGAAATAATTCATGGGAGGCTTGCTTCAAGAAGAGAATGTTGACATCTGGTCATGTCGTTTTGAAGAAAGCCTGAATGTATGGTTAATATTGCTAACATTGTGGAAATTGGAAATGATTGTGCTACAAAATGCATATCACCCACCTAGTCATGGCTATTGCTCACTCACAGTCACATGCCAGGCATCTGCACCCACGCTCATATTTCATCCTGCAGCCGTGTATTTCAACTGCTCTGAGTGGTGGGATATTTAGTCCCCAGTTCACCTATTTTGAAACTCAGGTTCTTACGCAAGGTAACGTGAGTGTGATGAACCACCTCCTATAGTACTCTAATGTTGAAACCACATCTCCAGGTACAAGTTCCTATCTTCTTAAATAATTACCAAAATTTTCCAGTATCAGTCAGGCAATGGGATGCCCTTTCCCCTTTGACCTCTCTGGGGCAGGGTTCATGCTAAGGAACTGACACAAAGGAAAGACAATAGTAGGGAATGAGCTAGAAAAAAGGAATAGAGAGAGGAGAAAAAATAGCATGGGAACTGGAGAAAGGATAGTGAGACAGATGCATAAAATAAGGCCAGCGAACCTAGCAAGACAGGATCATGGGGGCCATTGAAGACTCGTTGGGGAGTGGCAGGCCACAGAGCACCACCCGAACATCTGGAGTGGGCCAAAGAGGTGGTGTGTGGTGTTTGCCATTGTGTTCTCAGGATAGGGAGAGGAGGGAGAAGTGGCAAAGGGAAGCAGCAGTGATCCACTCAACCTGTGACGCCAGGGAGCTCAGGCAGCTGCAGAGGGGGAAGCTGCTCAGGCACATGGCAGCTCCAGCTGGGCTCACCTGTCAGGAAGTTCCACAGCAAAGTGGAAACTATTATCCTTCTGGGAGGGGCCTCTACAGCAAGCAGGTGTGTACACGTGTACATCTTTGTGAGCCCACGTGGGTTCTCTTTTCACTCTTTTCCAAGTGTCCTTTGATGCAAAAACGTTTTTCACTTTTAAGATGTCAAGTTTACCAATTTTTTTTTGCTTTTATTTCTTGAGATTTTTGCTGTCATATCCAAGAAACCATTGCCATATCCAATGTCATGGAGTGCTGCCCCAGTATTTTCTTCTAAGACTTATACCATTTTAGCTTTTCTTAGTAGGTCTCTAATCCATTTCAAGTAAAGTTTTGTGCATGGGATGGGGTAAGGGTCCACCTTCATCCTTTTACATATGGATGTGCAGTTGTCCTGCACTATGTGTAGAGGTGACTGTTCTTTCTCATTTGCATGGTCTTGGTACCCTCGTCAAAAAATCTATTGCCCAAGGATGTATTGGTTTATTTCTGGATTCTCAATTCTATTTCTTTGATCTGAATGCAAATGACAGTTTTTTTCCAGACAACTTGAGGAAATTGAATTATGGACTGGAAATTAGATAATATTGAGGAATATTGATTGTGTTAGGTGTGATAAGGATATTGTGGTTATGTAACAAACTGTCATTATTTATTATACTTAGTGAAGTATTGAGGGATAGAATGGCATGTCAAGAATTTACTTTAAAACATGACAGCCAAAAATGTTCTTAGAAAGGAAATAGGGGATAGATGAATCAGTACAGCAAAATATTGAAAAGTATTTAAAGAAGGTGGATCTATTATTGCTCATCACACTGTACTCTCTCCTTCATGTAAGTTTGAAAACTTTGATAGTAAATAATTGAAAGACATAATCTTGATGGAAGGACTTGGACTCACCCACCAACAGCTAACTTTGAATTAAAATTGGACCCAGAATCTGAAAGAAGTGAGGGAAGCGCAGGTGTGTTATTGCTGTGTTACCACGTCCCACCCCAGGTCTCTAGCCCTACACCTCCCCCAAATTGTGTAGACTGAACTTGAATTCCATCCAGGAGGACCCATCATCAATTCTGCTGGAACTCACTAAAAATTGAAAAACAGGAAGGTACTGATTTCCTTTTTTCCCCATTAAAATGATTTTAATTTTTTTCTAAATCATGACCTGTCATCTTATTTAAAGAATTTAATTATATCACTGGATATAATTCCCCTGAATAGACTCAATGAGATTTTGTTACAGGAAACCCTCAGGAAATTGCCCAAGGTAGGGCCGAAGACACCTCTCACAAATGCCTGGGCACATACATGAAAACACACGTGCACACACACACACACACACACACACACAACATGCACTCTATCATCGAGCAATGTCTTTTATCACACAAATGAGATTCCAAGTATGACTCCTGTTCTCTAGCAAGACACAATACAGAGTATGGTCTTCCAAGATGTGGCCCGCCATCTGAATCAATGAAGGGGAAATGCAGTGTACAGAGTGTTTCAGTTAAATTGACTTTGTGATGTGCTGTATCCTGGGCTCTTTTAAATATGAATCCCTCTTTGACAATTCAGCTTCCTTTAGACTTATAAATATGTACATTCATATATAACCTTTCACATCCATAAAACATGTATGCTTTATGTATGTCACTTAATAGATACATAACACTATGTCATTTATCATTAAAGATGTATATATAACTACAAATATAAAAAAACTATATTGTGTTCAATATATTTCATATTTTATAGATAGCTCCGTGATAGGTTATATAAAGTCACATGTAGCTTTCTATATCTCTAAACTCCTCTGGGTGACCCAGGAAATTGCAGGGCCCCACACTTGGCTAGAGGGCAGGGAGCAGCCAGACCCTGGGTGGTGCTTGGTGCTGGGATTCATGAAGGGGAAAGGGAACAGGAGCCTTTGATAGGCTCAGTCTCTTACAGTCCTGCAATTTGCACCTCCTGCCCATTCTTGCCAAGAGCAGAAAGTCACAACTGATTCTGAAAGGCATGTAAATTGAAACCATAGTCAATTTTGAAGCTGTCCTCTTTTCACTTTTTAGAAAGAGCATTATTTCACTTTTCCATGTGTTGGCTGAAAAGTTGTTCTTTCCCTAAACATCTGCTAAGCTATCTGTGAGAGAATATGACTTTGTTAGAAAGCCCATGGAACCTTGTAAGAAGACAGAAGACTAGATAAAAATGCATAGTCCATCCCAAAGAAGATAATATACTGAGATGAGATACCAGGTGTTTCTCCTGGATTTAGCAACTATACATTTGCCTTGAATCTTACACTTGTATTCATCAAGGCTTTTTCAAGTGCAAGGGACAGAATCCCAACTTAAATTGGCTAGACCAACAATATTATTCAATAATAAGGCAAAATAAGTGATATAAATATCATGGGAGTAAATTAGTGACAGATGATATTGTATACCTAATCAATCTTACATGTTATTTAATATTAAGAGGAATGAATAGATGCAAGATAAATGTGCAAAACCCAAAGCTATAATTTAATTACCCATAGTCAGTTCAAAATAGAAATGGAATAACTGCTCTGTGCAAAATAGTTGCAAAAATAATAAAATGCCTAGGAATAAATTTTCATAAGAAAAAATCCTTATATAAAATGTAAAATTTTATTTATGGATCAAAAACAAGATCTGAGCAAATAATGAGTACATATTCCAGAACAGGCAGACATAATAACAAAAAGGTACAAATTTTTCTCAATTAATGAAAACCCAGAAACCCTATGTAAAAGTCTCTAGCTGATTGAGATAAAAGCAAGAATATGGAAATGGGTGAACATACAGAAAGTTGTAAAGAATATTTACTGTAGTCTTGTTCACAGAAGAAAAAGAAAGGAAAATGCCTACATCTTTAATAATATTGATTGTTTGATAAAGGTATGTTGCATCCAAACTAAAGATTTCTCTGTAATTATTAAAATAAGGTATCAAATCTGTATGTATTGACCTATAAAGGTATCTGTGATTTATTGGCAAGTAAAGGACACAAGGTAAAGGACATTATTTTCAACCATGATACTAGATTTTCTTTTAATAAAATAGACTAAGAACTTACATTGACTATATGGATATATAGAAAATGATTTCAAAAAATTTTAAAAGGTGCATACAAAACTGCTAAGAGCCTTTTCCTGTAGGGGGAGGCATAGGATTAGCAAAAAATAGAAGTTTCATTTCTTACTGGATTTTTCCAAAAACAGTATTGAAAATGAAGCCTGATTATTGTTTACAATTATATACATACATATTATGTGTATATCAATGAGAGCAACATTACAAAATTTGTTAAAGAACAATCTACTGAATGAGTACCAAAAAATTTGTTAAATAAGAAGAAATTACAGATTCAACAAATGTAAACCACCAATCACAGCTAAGAAACGAATCCTTTCTTTCTTTTTCTTTTTAATGTCCAAAGCCAGATACTTCCTCATGAGCTACAAGAGAGACACTCACCTCAGATGGTGGCTTTCGCTGGTAGCAGTTGATGCCACTGACGAAGATCATGTTGGGCATCACAGGCCTGGGATAGTCCAAAACAAAGTCAGTGGCTGAAGAGATCATACGCCGTGACAGGTGTCTGGAGAATTTCAGAGGCAATTTCTAACCCGGTTTTTAAAAATTGGGAACAAACTAAATGTTCCTCCAAGTGGAAGATATGGTTCTGCACTCTCTCCTCACGGCATCCGAGAATTCGAAGAGAATTCTGGGAACGTAAGAAAGAACAGCTGGGCACTGCGCACCTTCCTCAAGATACTGGCAAAATATTCCCCAGCAAAGACCACAGAGGGGAGCGAAAAATGCTTGGCAACAATTAAGCCACACAGATCAAAAGAATCGAGAAACACAGCATCAAAAGAACTCTCCTTTAAGTATTCCACTTACTTTTTGTCATTAAACAAACTCCTACAGTGTGAAACAAATAAGTCAAAAAAACCATGGATGGACTCCATAATAGGGAAAATAAAAGTTGTATTCTAGTTTTCCTCTGAGCATTGCTAAAATCCATGAAATGATGGTTCAAATCTACCAGGGTGTGAGAAGTTTTATAAGTCTTCACTGTACAATTCAATGATTGTCCCAGTTGCCAACTCACGTCTGGAATGACCACAACCAGCTCGTGCCCTTTGTGGATGAGATTCTCCACCACGGACCGCATGGTAAACCAGTGGCTGCCGACCACGGGCACCACCAGCAGCTTGCCTGCCTCGGCTGAGTGACTGCAGTGGGCATCGGCTGCTGTCTGGGGTGGGAAAATGATCGAATAGACAGTGGTGATGGTTGTCGTTTCTGACTGAATAACTGAAAACCGCTGAACTGTACATATTATTATTAATTATCGTTTGTATAGTAGTGAATTACATGTCAATACTTTAAAGAAGAATACTGTTTGAATCCTGCCTCTCCCTTCCTAGAGCACATGACCTGGGTGAGTCATTCTCCTCTCTGTGCCTCAGTTTCACTCAGTCTGGCTAAGTAGGCCCACAGTGCATGCTGCATCTGTGTAAGGCAGCTCGCTCCACAGTTGTAGCAGCAGTATCGTGGCTTCCATTTAAAATTAATGTGTAAGTCTCCCTAAAGGGGAACAGTCCACCATCGAAGAATAATTTGTGGAGCTTGATTCAAGAAGGAGAATAATGTTGCATCTCGTCATTCATTTTGTTTTGTTTGTTTTCTTTTTTTTTTGTTTTTTTTTTTGTTTTGAGACAGAGTCTCGCTTTGTTGTCCAGCGGCTTAGAGTGAAGTGCCGTTGGCGTCGAGCCTAGCTCACAGTCAACCTCACAAACTCCTGGGCTTCAGAGTGATCCTTCTGCTCACGTCCTCCCGACGTAGCTGGGACTATCAGGCAGCGCACATGCCCGGCTAATTACTATAGTTATATCATATCAGTTGGCCAATTAATTTCTTCTATTTATAGTAGAGACGGAGGTCTCGCTCTTGCTCGGCTGGTTTTGAACTCCTGCCTTGAGCAATCCGCCCGCCGCCTCCGCAGAGAGCTGAGGATTACAGGGTGAGCACCGCGCCTGGCCTGGTCATGTCATTTGAAGAGAGGCCTGAACGTATGGTATAATATTGCGTAAACGATTGTGAAATTGGAAAATGATTCATGTAGAAAATGCATGTATCCGACCCAATCTATGGCTATGCTCACTCACAGTCACATGCCAGACATCTGCACCCGACGCTCATATTTCCATCCTGGCAGCCGTGTATTATCTTATGGTTCAACTGCCTGAGGTGGTGGATACTTTTCTGCCCATTTCCTTATTAAATCTCATGTCTTACGCAAGGTAAATCTGAGTGCCATGAACCACTACTGCAGTACA